CTCACTCACTTTATAGATGAGGAACCAAGCCTATAGAGGTGAGGTGACTTGCCCAGGGTTATATAGCTAATAAGTATCTGAGGAAAGATCTGAACTCAGGTCTTTCTGAGTTCAATTCCAGAGCTTTGTTCATGAGATTCATTATCATCACTGATGTAAATCATAACCACTTTATCTTAGTGGACAATTTATCAAGTCAAATCGTACAGGTAGTAAATGTCAAGTTGAGGATTCGAACCCAGGTCCTTTGACTACAAATGCAGCACCCTTTCTGTTGTACCAGAAGATCTCTTGACTCTAAATATTTCCATATGCTCCAGTTTTTTGGATCTATCATTTTTGATATACCAAGAAGAATCGATATAATCCTGTTGGTATTGTTCATTTGACCTCTATAGAAGTCATTGCTTTCTAGCTCTGTTGGCCACCACACACTGAGGTTCATGCATTACTCATGTCCCAGCTAGTCCAAATGAACAGCTTCTTGGCAGACCGTCTCCATTTGTTTAGTATTCTATATATTTTTGCTTTTTTTCCCTAAAACATCACTGGTGGAATAATTTTTCACCACTCTCTATAATCCTCATGTCACTTCTCTAGTAAGAAAATTACATCAGCTTCCTGTTCACCTCCCAATTGCATGGACTGTGACAGGGATTTGCACAAAGTACACATAGGTTTCCTTTAAAATTGTTCATTGTTTTTAATTGTCTTTTAGTCTCTATAGTTTTTTTGTTTCAGATTATGTTTTACGTGTCTTTCTGATATTCTGCGTCTTTGGAGCAGATTCTGGGTCAGACAGGTGGAGCAATTCCTTATGATGTTTCCAGAGAGTGCCTAGCATAAAGTAGGGCTTAATAGATAAGTGAATTGAAATGAAGGGATTACAACCATTTCTGCTGCTCCAGAAATCCCCCACTCCCACTTTGTTCCAATCAATCAACAAGCATTTATTAAGCACCCACTAAATGCCAGGCACTGTACAGATACTGGGGATACAATGCAAAAGCAAAACAGCCCCTGCCCTAAAGGAGCTTACATTCTATCAGGAGATATAACAAGCACCTTTTATAGGTATATTCAAAACATATGCAAACAGATACAGAGTAACCTGGTGGAATGGGGTGTTAGCAGTGTGAGAGTGCAGGAAAGAATTCATGGACAGGTTGATGAATAATAAAAACAATAACATTTATATAGTGTTTACTATGTTCCAGGCACTATGCTAAGTGCCTTAATAATAATAGTAATGGCAATTAACATTTATATAGCACTTACCATGTTCTAGGAACATAGTAAACACTTTACAGATATCTCATTTGATCCTCATAACAGCATAATAATAGCAAGTGCTATTATTATTACCATTGTACAGATAAGGAAACTGAAGCAAACAGAGATTAAGTGACCCACAACTAGTAAGTGCCTGAGGCTGGATTTGAACTCAGGGTATTTCTGATTTCAGGCCTAGTGCCCTCTTCACTGTACTACCTAGTTGCTTGCACTGCAAAGAAGGCAAATTGCTCCAACAGGCTATAAATGTGAGCACATACCATTGGAAAATGGCAGCGATCAATATAGGGTCACCACAAACCTTCAGTTTATAAAAAATGCAATATCTGCAAAGTGCAATAAAGCAAAGCACAATAAAATGAGGTATGCCTGTACCTCAATTTTTTTTTCATGTTACTTCTCATATTCTTCATTGGTTTCCTGTTTCACAGATTATTATTTACTTATGTCATGAAAATGATGAGTAGGACAATATTGTCAATATATTATCAATATATTTTCAATAGCCAGAGTTCCATGGCCCTGATCCTACTATTGATTGGCACGGGAGTTTGACCTGCTCCATTTCTGTCATGGGCAGGTTCACCCCAACTTATGTAACCTGGTCGCTCCCCCTCTCTTCCAGGCTCATTATATTAATGCTGAACTTAGTGTACACACTTAATTATAGCTATCAGAGCAGCACAGAACTCCTTAGAGCACCAGCCTTAGCCTCCCTGGCATCTAGGATGACAGATTACCATGCCCAGCCTTCTCCCCATGTTTATTGCAGGTAAACCACACAGAAAATGAAGGGATAAGCTTTACCTGGGATGAAGTAGTTCTGTGGAAGCTCTTTTCACTATATAATGCTCTATGTAGAACCTGTACCCTTTTCTGATCGTTCAGGACTCTCCCTTTATCTCTGGACAATGGGACCCTGCAGTTCACCTCCTAACATCATACTTTTCTAAACTTTGTCATCAGGGTCAGCTCCCTATGAGCAATATTCTGGTATATGGTAAGTGCTCAATAAATGCTTTTTTATTCACTCACAAGCCTAAATCTGCTGTTACGACTCCCTTCTCCCAGTGATATTGTCCTGGCCCTATTCTCTTTTAGTCCCAATTATCTGCTTTCTGTTTCTTCTGCTGTTTTTTGTTTTCTTTTCCATCCTTAACAAACTCTAAATTATCTGGAGGCTTTCCTTCTATGTTTATTTCATTTCCCCCTATGAATTGGAACTTGGCTGTCTCCTGAGGACTCCATGTTACTAGCTATACTGAAGATCCACTACAATCTGACTGTATAGCTTATGTACTCAATCTTATCTCATGTTATTCCCCTTCTATGTCCTAGCCAGTCAGGACAATTATCTGTCCTCCATTTTTATCTCTTCTCTCGCGTCTCCATGCTTTTGCTCCTGCTCTTGCCATCTCAGTGCCTAAAATGCACCTCCTCTCCCCTTGCATTTCCATCTGTTGAACTGTTTCTTTTCCTTTAAAAGTTAACTCAGATGCCACCTCCTCCATGAAGCCTCGTCTGATGCCCCAGATCATGATGATTTCTCCTTCCTCTAGACTGCTTCAGTACTTATTGTCTATATAATTATCAACCTCCCTGAAGTGTTATGTTTAAAATATATCTATTTTCTTTCTCACCAAGTAGACCGTAAGGTTTTTGAGGGCATAGATACTTATACTTTTCTGTATCCACCAGGGTGCTTCCCTCGTACAGTAGGTGATCAATAAAAATTTGAGGTCAATCTCCTGGCTTGAGGCACCCTGTTCCTTGTTTGTGATGGGGAATTGTCATAAGATTAATGGTTCTTTGGCCCATTTTTAGGATGATTTTTCCTCATGGGTCCTTCCCACTTAGAGGAAAGCAAACCAAATTTCAGTGCTGAATGCTCAGATATATCTTACTGGTTTTTAAAGAGCTCTATTTGCTAAAATGCAGTGGCATTTTAAAGAAGGCAGCCCAAAGGCTGCCTCTGCTCAAGGTAAAGTGTTTCCCAACAGAGCCAACATTCTGGCTTTGGTCCAAGGCATTTCTCTTCCTCATCCCCCTCCCACCCCCTCCTCTGTATCGACAGTAAACTAGAGAGGATGCTAAAGTCTCATCACTAGACTAATTCATAGCCAAACAGAAGCTTTTGTTCATTTGTGAAACTGATTGGGAATGATTCATTGCCAGTCAGAAATGTTTTTCACTTACTCCACTAAAGTTCTTCTCCAAGACCTCATTCTAACATGCAGGTAACTGTGGGCTCTCAAGCTCTGGCAGGTCCTACACTATTTCCTACAAATGGAAAGGCTTAGTCTGTGAATGTGATAATGGAATGTGGGACTTTTCTTCCAAGGAAAAGCCCAGCCAAGTTCAGAGACGCTCATTGCCAGAAGGCTGCTTACCAGGTGATGATTTCTATTTTTTGGGGGGGGGGTAGAGGGGAGAAGATAGTTACTTGATATGCTCTTTACTAAGCAGAAGGAAATATGATTTGCATCTGTGATAATAATGACTCTCACAGATAGAGCACTAGATCTGAGTCTGACTCTTGCTCCAGATGTTTACTGGGTAGGTGACCCTGAGCAAGTCACCTAAATTCTCTGAGTCCGTTTTCTCGTTGATAAAATGAGGGGTTGGACCTGATGGCCTAAAAGTTCCCTTCTACTTCTAGATCTGTACTTCAATAACAACCCTGTGAGGTAAGTAGTGTAAATATTATAATTTTCATTTTACGGATGAGTCAGCAGAGGAATTGACAGATTAATCGATATCCTCGAAGTTATCTAGCTAGTGTTAGGAGAAATGGTACCCACAGGATCTCAGATCAGATTTTCCCTTCGTGTAATACCCAAATTTTTAAACAAAGTTCAAATTAGTCTCATGCAGCAGCACACCTTGATTTATTTATTCCTTGGCCAAATGCTTATTTGCTATTGTGTAGGCATATAGGCATAGGGGATAAATCCTCAGAGCATGTAGGAGCCCTATATACTGATACCTCTATATGGATGCAGACTTCAGGACACAATGGAAGTCAAAATTTAAATCCCATTTTCTGCCAAGATGCAGGTGACTTTTCTCGGGTTGAATTCCAATGAATATTTTTTCTTTCCTCAGGATGCTGCCAATTCCATACTGAACTGTGTTATGAAAAGGCTATTCTGTTAGTTAAGTGTGAAATTGTAAACCTGTGTTTGGAAGGTTTCTTTGGCATGAGCCCCCAGTGGTTGTTGCTTTAGAATTTCCATAGAATGTAAATGACTGTGGATACAGCCTGCATATTTTGGATTTCTACTGAGCATTGAGAAAGTTTAGTTCTTAGGGATAATTAAAGGTCTAAGGTTGTGAAGCAGCAAGTATGTCCCCTCCCTGCCTTTTGCTTGCCTGATGCAATTTCTTCTCTTTCTAATTATTTAAGCCATAGCTACAGAGATGTGATTTGCCAAGTATGATTACTCTCAGTAGAGGGAAAAGACCATAGCATCAAAGATCTTAGATCTATAAAAAAGTCACCCATCTAAAGCTAGAAGAGACATTAGAGGTTATCCAATTTAACCCCTTCATTTTTAAAGAGAAGACCCTGAACTCCAGAGAGGCCACTTAGGTTATAAGTGGCAGAGCTAGGATTTTCATCTGGGTCTTCTGAATCCAAACTAGGCACTCTTTATGCTGTGTGACATTACCTTCTTTCTCCACCCTGTTTCACATAAAACTCTTACCTGGCTCGATGTTGAGAGAATAAGTGTCTACGTGCAGATTGAGCTGCTGGGCTGCAGTGGAACAAAACTCCTCCAATACACAATGCACTGCTTCTGTGATGTTGTAAGGAACTGACTTCGCAAACTTCATCTTACTATTCACGATCACGCTCCCATTTCTGAAGTTGAGAATCTCCAGGTGCTTAAATCCAGTAAGATTGGATCGCAGATAGGGAAGCAGCTGCAAAGCAAAAAGTGAGTTTACTTTTAACTGTTTTCTAAGTGCCCAGATGTTGTTAATTCCACTTACACTCACTTTTCATTACCTGTGGCATAAATTTTAGGGTTTGTTTTTTTTTTTTGTTTGGGAATTGATACTAGAGCTGAGCGCTGTTACTTAGTGTTCTATTTGCCACAATTACGCCCAATATATACCTCTTTCTTGTTGTATATGGAGATGGATGGATGGTAGTTTTCTTCATGATGGATTACACAGAGTCATTTCATTTTTTTAAATAAAGAAAATACTTAGCAGCAAAAGTAGAAAGTCAAGTTCAGTTAAAGATAATATAGGTACAATGTACCATATGAGGCAGAAGACCAGATTACTTAGAACCCCAGTGAATAGGACACAGCAGAAATAAACTCTTAGAGAGCAGACAAAATTTCGTTATTGTTTTTGTGTTCCTGGAACCCAATACAGATTTGCACATTTTTCTTCAGACGGTATTTGTGATTTCATTGTTTTAGGGAACCCTTAATGAGAAAATTCCCTTTACCAGTGCCTTTTACTTGCCCTGAAATTCAGAGTCTTAGAGAGCTGCCTGACAGTTATGAGAAATGCTCACTGTTACACAGTGTATTTCAAAGGTGGTCTTGGACCCAGGTCTTCTTGACACTTTCTTGGCTAGTGAGGTTGAGTTTGATTTCTGAGAAAATTCTAGAACAGATCATTAAAGAAATGGATCCTCTAGATAGGGAAGCAGAGATTATAAAGAGCTAGCATGGCTTTATCAATAATAGATCATATCAGCCTCACCTCATTTCTTTTGTTTCCAGGATTGCAGGAGTGATGTAGATGTAGTTTACCTAGATTTTCGTGAAGTTTTTGACAAACTCTCATATTATCTAGATGATAATGCAATCAGATATATTCAGAACTGGTTGTACAATCAGTCTCAAAGAGTAACTGGTTCAGCGTCACCATGGCAGGAGGTCTCAAGGGGCATACACTAGGCATCTGTGCTTGGCTCTATGTTATTTAATATATATTTTTTTATCAATAACTAGGATAGAGGCATATAAAATATGCTTGCCCATTTTGCAGGCGACCCAAACCTAGCAGGAATAGCTAACGCATTGAATAGCAGAGTTGTAGCTAAGACATTGGCTAACAGTTGGGATTAACTTTTTTCTTTTTAAAATTTGATTATTTATTTTTAATTTATGGAATAAAACAAGCATGCCATAATAAAAAGATGATTGCAAATGAAACTGCAAATCTATTATGTACAACTTGCTATTCCTTTTAAATACATAATAAAGTTATGTAAATTTCTTCCCCCCTCCAAGATGGCTACCATACACACATACACACACACACACACATAAATGTATACATAATATATACATAGGTGCATATAGGTAAAATTATTCCATACATACTTCTATATTTATCAGTTCTTTCTCTGGATGCAGATAGCATCTTTCTGCACATGTCCTTTTTAGTTGATTTGAGTATTTATAATAGTCAAAATTACTTATTTGCTCAAAGTCATTCTTAAAGATCTTATCAGGCTGGAACATTGGGCTGAATCTAATAAGCACTTCAATAGGGATAAATGTAAAGTATTGTGCTTTGGCATAAAAACAAATCAGCTCCACAGGTACAAGATTGGGGAGGTATAGATAGTTAGCACTTGTTCTGAAAAAGGTCTAAGGGTTTTAGTGGACTGCATGATTCCTTTGAGTCTGCAGTGTAACGGGGTTTTCAAAAAACTAAATGTGATCTTTGGACTGCATGAAGACACATAGCTTCCAGGAATGGGAGCTGATAATGCCACTGAATTCTGCCCTTATCAAACTTCATTTGAAGGACTCTGTTCAGTTCTGGGTGTGTTAAGGAGGACACCCATAAGCTGCAGAGTGTCCAATGGAGGGCAACCAGGATGGTGAAGGTCCTTGAGTCCATGTCTATAAGGATCAATTGAAAAAACTGGACTTATTTACCCTGGGAAAGAAAAGACTCATGGGAACATGATAGCTTTGATTAAGTACCTGAAGGGCTTTTGCTTCAACTTGCTCTATTTAGCTCCAGAGGACAGAATTAGGAGCAATGGGTAGAAGGTTCAAAGTAGCCAAATTAAGCTCAATGTCAGGAAAGATTTCCTAGCAATGAAAGCTATCTAAATGTGAAGTGGCTTGCCAGAAGTGGGTTGCCTCATCTTAAAGATGTTCTTGCAGAGGCTGAACTACCACTTACAAGGAATGCTATGGTGGGGATTCCTGTTGTGTATGAATAAGACTAAATTGCAGTAGCTAGTGGCTCAATGGATAGAGTGCTAGACCTAGAGTCAGGAATACTTGAGTTCAAATCCAGCCTCGGACAGGTACTAGCTATGTGACCCTGGGCAAGTCACTTAATCTCTGTATGTCTTAATCTACTGGAGAAGGAAATGAAAAACCATTCCAGTATCTTTGCCAAGAAAACCCCAAGGACAGTATTGTTGTTATTGCTGTCGTTCAGCCCTTAAGTCATGTCCAACTCTTTGTGACCCCATGGACGACAGCGATATCAACAAAAGACTAAATTTTATAGCTGTTGGAGGCCCTGCCAACTCTCAAATTCCGTAATTCTATCCACTATGATATGACCATTCCTTGAAGATAGTAGGCATTTAATAATTCCTTTATGAGTGAATTAATGAAGCAATATATCTAGAGCATCCATTTGGAAATATACTTTTTTATTCTTCCTTCCCCCTACCCTGCCCTAAAGATGGCTACCATTAGACACAAATAGATATACATTTATATAAAATTATTCTATATATACTTCTGTTTTTCAGTTCTTTATCTGGATACAGATAGTATCTTTCTCCATATGTCCTTTATAGTTAATTTGGATATTTATAATAGTCAAAATGACTTATTTGCTCAAAATTGTTCTTAAAGCAATATTGCTATTACTATATACAGTATTCTCTTCATTCTGCTCATTTTGCTCTTCATCATTTCATGTAAGTCTTTCCTGGTTTTTCTGAGAACATCCTACTCAGCCTTTCAGATAGCACAATAGTATTCCATCACAATCATATACCACAATTTTAGCCATTCCCCAACTGATGGGCATCTGTGCACTTTCCAGTTCTTTGCCACCACAAAGAGAGAGCTGCTATAAACAATTTAGAACATATAGGTTCTTTTCCTTTTTACCTAATCATTTTTGGAAATAGACTTGGTAGTGGTATTGCTGGGTCAAAGGGTATAGGCAGTTAAAAACTCTTGGGGCATAATTCCAGATTGCTATCCAAAATGGTTGGCTTAATTCACAATTCCACCAACAATGAATTAGTGTCCCAATTTTTCCACATCCTCTACAACATTTTTTGCCTTCTCCTTTAATCATTTTAGTCAATCTAGTAGGTGTAAAATCATATCTCAAGATTGTAAAATCAACAAAGCTTTAACATTTTGCATTTAAAGTGTCCTAGGTACTATTAAAGACTCTAGTATTTTTGTGTTTACCCCAAAGAGTGGTAAAGTGAGTGACAACAGGTAAAGATACTAGACAGAAAAATACTGGGTTCAAATCTCAGCTCTTCCATTGACCAGCTTTGTGTGGCCTTGAGTAGGTCACTGAAACTCTCTGGGCCTCATTAGCAAAATGGGAATGATTTTTTCATGTGCCCCCCTTGAAGGGTTGTTCTGAAGAAAGCACTTTATGAATTGTAAATGTATTTTGTTAAATTGGGATAGGGACTGTACCTGTGATTTTACTGTTATGGAGAGCCCCTTGATGAGAAAAACCCCTTCTACCAAAGCAGGTTTACACCTTCTCTGTGACTTATGCATTCTTAGAGAATTGCCTAGAGCACTGAGAAGATTCTATTCTATTATATAAGTTGAGCAATTAGGACTTGGTGGCCTCTAAGATCTCTTTCAGCTGTGAATCTATGATCCTATTATAATTGGAAAGATCACTGGCCTAGTAATCACCAGCTGTGTGACCTTGGACAGACACTTGGGCCTCTCCTTCCTCACCTATAGAACAAGGCTGATGATTTGGACTTCTAAGATGTATAAAAGTTTATGTTCTTTAAAAAAAATGTCCAAATCAACTATTTCAAATGCAGCATTTGTCTGGTACAACCTTAGAGCCCATTTCTAAAAAGACCCCAAAACTCATTTATATACTGCTTTGAAGTTTTTGTAGCACTTTCCTCAATATATTTGTGAGATGGGTACACAAGTGTGATACTCATTTGATGGAGCTTAGATTGATGCTCAGAGAGGCAGGAAGGAAAGAAGGAAGGAAGGAAATGAGCATTCATTAAGTGCCTACTACCTGTGCTAAGCACTTTACAAATATCTCATTTGGTCTTCACAACAACCTTGGTAGGTAAGTGCTATTATTACCCCCATTTTACAGCTAAGGAAACTGAGGCTGATCAATTCATGCTCAAGTCAAGAATCACCCTCGTAATGTCATTGGTCCTCTTCAGGAATGAAAGATTAACAACAACAACAACAACATGTTAGGTCACTTACCCAGAGTTATACACTTACAAAGTGTCTTAGGTGGGATTCAAACTTGCCCAGCTGCCTCGAGCTTAGGTAACATGCCCAAAGTCACTTAACTGGTAAATATAGGGACTGCGATTCGAATCTAGGTCCCCCAACTCTGTGTATGTCCAAGACTCTTTCCATTCCCTCATGCTGTATCTCTCAAAGATGTTTCTTAAAACATCTTTTAAAAGATTTAAAAAAAATGCCACATTTTTTGCTTTTTGGCTTTTAAAACTCAAACCATTTCATAAAATATAAGTATCCACATGGAAAACCTGCTGTCATCCAGGTTTTTGTTTTTATGGTTAGTCAAATTGCTATTTGAATTGTATAATAAAGTTGGTTTTATTATTTTCAGAAATACTAGGGATTTGGTATATAGCCCATTGCTGTTTTTTTTTCCTAGTAGAATGTAACTCCTTTGAGAGCAGGAATTATTCCATTTTTATATTTTCAGAGGGTTACAGTGCCTTGCACATTGTTTTGGGAAGAGGGGGATTGGGATACTTTTAATCCAAGATTTCATCAGGGTAGAAAATTCTAGTGATGCAAATCTGCAACTGTTCATTGACTTATAAGCCTAGAGAGTTGTCTAAGGTACTGAAAAATTAAATTACTTGCTCAGGGTAAAACACTCAGTGTGTATCAGAGGTGGGATTTGAACTTGGGTCATTTCAACTTTGAGGTCGGTTCTCTATCTACTACATATACCATGCTACCTTTGTTTTGCACAGAGGCTGATAAATGATGGTTTAATTGACTTGAATTTTTCAAATAATATTCTTAATGATTGTGTCAAGACAAATTAAGAGAGATATGCTTGATGTAAATGGAGTTGGTCTCAAAAACCTGGGTTCAAATCTAACCTCTGTCTCATACTATCTTTGTGACCCAGGTAAGTCACTTATTGTCTCAGTACTTTAGGGAAATATCTAAGACTATGCATTGCAGAGAAGTAAAAAACTTGCATTGGTAGAGTTTCCTCATCTGGGAATTTCTTATCCTAGTGAAATCATAGTTTTTATTACCTAGACCCAAATGGAGTAAGAGGTTTTATGCCCCAATGTCTGTGTTGCTATCTTCACCCAGGTCTGTATGATGGATCAGGGTGATTAACCATTTGAGCTCTTTTTGTTTGACAGAAATTTGGAAGAACCATTCAGTATGCATTTAGCTGTGTCCAATCAAGCTTTGAACACTTTCTGTCAGATTTTCCTGAAGCCAGCTTGTGGCATTTCAAATTAGAAGGAACTCATTTATAAGCATGGTTTCTAGATCCCATGCTTGGTTCACTAGGAGAGCTTTTGATTATTTTCCGGAAGCCACGCTAAGCAGAAGTGTTACTAAATAGTCTTAAGTATGAATTTCATTTCATTAGACTGGAAGGCAGAGCCTGCCTGGCTGTTTACAAGAGGAGCTCACTCGACTGATCTGATCAGAATGTCTTCCATTTGAATGCCTTCAGCAGCAGCTGTCAGAAGAGCATGTCTCCTCTAACCTGGATTACTAGCCAAGCCAGTGATTATATTATAAAGTCACAAAACAACAAAGTAAAAGCAACTGAAAGCATTTTAAGGAGTTCACTCACCAACTGTATGAATTGTTGCTCCAGGTCTTGGTATTCCTGAGAGCTCCTATTGAAGAGGTCATTAGAAAAGGGCACATTTGTGACTCTCAGGCTGAAGAACACTACCAATTCTTTCCCTTTGCCAGCTGTCGTCATAGAGCTAGTAGTAATGTATTTCAAGGTGGTGGTTAAAGCGGTATCTACCGAGCTGGCTTCTGGGGTAAAAGCATAGCCAGTGTCCACCATCACCTCATCCATTCTGTCAAGCTCTTGGGTGCTGTCCTGGGTACCTGAAATGTGTGTACTGCTTCCTGCAGTACCTGAGGAAATTGTGGTTTTGGAAGTAGATTGACCATAGAAGGGACTGGCTACCACTGGAAGCTGAGTTTCTTGATCAATGGGAAATGTCCCTGCTTGTTCAGGTTGAGAGAACTCACTCCATTCAGTGAAAAATGGCAAAGATTCCATTTGGGTGGGAGATGCTGGGCTGAGAGTAAACCAAAGACTGTCTGTGGTTTCTGCAAAGCATCACCTGATGTTTCCATTATACTTGGAAGTTCCCCTAAGAATAGAAAAAGAATAAAGAACATTTCAAGTCAATTTTGTATTAAAAATACAAAAATTTTTCATTTGAATTTTTAAAAGTGAATTCCTTGTGTTTAAAAACGAGAGCAACCACATATTTTTTCATCCATGTCCTATACCCTAACTGTATATGTTTCCCAAGGGTCTATCCTGGGTGTCTTAATTTCTCTTTTTATGTGTTTTCTCGGTAATTTCATCATGTCCATTGAGTTCCATTATCATTTCTACATAGATGACTCCTAGATCCAAATATTAAGTGCTGGTCTCTCCTTAGCTTCAGTACTACTCTGTGTAGTGACTAACTCTTAATAGGTAATTAATGAGTCCTTATTGATTGCTTGTTTTTCTATTAACTTAATAAATTAAATTCATTTGGAATATTGTCCCTACAGATGGGGATTCTAGGATGTGTGTAGCTTGAACCCAGGCCTTCTTGACTCTGAGGCTGGTCCTCTACTCATTATACCAATCTGCCTTTTACTTTTATTATGTTTCCTAATGACTTTTGTGAAGGAGCCATCTGGATTTTTCAACATTTAATAATCCTGTCACTTGACATTGACTGAAAATTTCAGTAGCAATTCTGAGTTGCCTTCTTTGATCAGTTTCCACTGGATCATGGAAAAGCATTCCCCTGATATTGCAATGTTAGAGTAAATTCTACTTATCTGTGAGCCTGAAATGTTAAATAAAGCTCTAACAGAAAGATGTGGTGGGTTATGAAAAATAGTCCAGCATTCATAAATCAAATACATCACATATAGGTTAAAAGATTGTGTGAATCCAAATAGCAGGACTTCTGTTATTGCTACAGGAGGAACTTGGCAAATATCTGGGGAAACGGTGTCGAAGGCCAAATACTAAGCATGATGAATGGACCGTCTGGATTCAGTGATGCAATCTCTGGCCTCTTCTGTCAGCTAATTTACTACAATGAGATCAGTAAAACTGAGGTTTTCAGTGATAAATAGATTTGAAGGGTGAAATCATATTAGTTGTTATTATTTTTGTCAAACCACTACCCATTTCTTTGCTGCGTACAGTCTACAGAGTGATACCCTGCTTACTCACCTCTGCAGTTTGTGCAACTGAGGAATGTCTTCACCTATGGAATTTACTCAGCAGTCTGTGGAAGGCTGAGCCCTATAAGCTAAACTGTCCTTGGGGACCCACTGATACTGGAGGTCAACTCAAATTCCTATGGAAACGCATGAAGAATAAATGGAATGTTTTATGACATCAGCATTTTGCTTTGGCTTCTTTGGGCCTTAGAAAACTGTGTTTAGGTCCCTCTTGGCAGAATATGATCTTTGGTCTTTTCTATTCATGCTTTGGGTAGGTGAAGTCTGTGGCAGTTAGAATATTTTCTGTTGACTTTTTCATCCTGACTTTGCATGGGCATAGCTCTAATTTGCCAAGCTTTAAATCATTCTGGAGTATCTTATATAATGCATAAACTCTGACTGATTCCAAGAAAGTACTCCATTATGTCATCAATTCTACTCATAAATAACTTTCATCACCTCACTTTATAATCTGAGTCTTTAAATGGTAACATCTAAACAGGTCTAAAGGTCAGCTATTTTTCTGTCTTGTTGATGGGTCATTCAGTTGTTTAAGTATGATTAAGCCAAGGCTCATTACACTCTATTTTGGCTTCAGATCAAAGCGATGGGTGTAGAAAAAGGCCAATTCTCTTTAGGTAAAACAGAATCAGACAAATCTTGCCTCAACTACTCTTACCTACAGCCATGGTCAAGTCTCCTCTATGCTTAAAAAACAAAATTAACAACAACAATCATCACTTGACCTTATCGAACTGTCATCTCCTCTCAAGGTATCACCCTCTCTCTTCCTTTTACAACCAAACTCCTAGAAAAAGTTATCCATATTCCATTCCTCCACTTCCTTTCCACTTACTAACTCTTTAACCAATGCATTGAAATCTGGTGAGGATAGGTCATAAGGATGTATATAATCTGGCTTCCACCCTTCAACTTGAAACAAATCTCTCTAAAGTTACCAATGATCTCTTAACTGCCAAAACAAATGGCCGTTTTTGGTCCTTATTCTTTTTGATCTCTTTGTAGCAGTTGATACAGCTGTCTACCCTTTCCTCTTACATATTCTCTTTTCACTGGGTTTTTGTGATACTGCTCTCTGTTTTCATCCTACCTGTATGACTGTTCCTCCTCATATCCTCATATCCTGAAGATAGAAAAGAGGAATTGACCAAGAGGGTTCGTATGGCTTTGCTGGGTTATTTTGAATATGGTGTCCCCAAATCAGGATATTCCTCAAGTCTCTGCCATGGGCTTCTTCTCCCTCTTTGGTGACCTCATAAGCTCCTATGCATTCCATTATCTTCTCTACATATTTGATTCTCAGATCAGTGGATATTTAACTGGTTTCTCCTGAGATCCAGTCCCATATCACCCTCTTCCTATTAGACATTACAAACTAGTTGTTCTGTAGGCTCTCAAACTCAGCATGTGTAAAACATATCTAAAACACATTAGCTTCCCCCTTTAAAACCTATTACTCTCCATAACTTCCAAATTTCTGTCAAGGACATTGCTATCCTTCCAGTCATAGTGGTTTGCAATCTCAAAGTCATCCCTAACTCTATCCTCTTTTATTCCACATAGCTAATAAGTGGCAGTCTTCTCAATACAACCTCTGAAATGTGTCTTGCACCCATCTCCTTTCTACTTTCTCAGCTACCATCCTAGTTTTGGACCTCTATTGTGATACAGAACCTATTAATTGGTCTCCCTGACTCAAGTCTATCCTTTTTCCAGGCCATCTCCTACATGGTTGTCAAAGTGTTATTGCTGAAGAACAGTTCTGAAGATGTCACTCCTTTGCTCAATGAACTCCAGTGACTCCCCTATTACCTCTTGGATCAAATACAGCCTCCTCTGTGTGGCATTTAAATCCCTCATACCTGGCTCCAATCCACCTTTCTAGATTTGTTATACATAATTCCTCTTCACTCTCTTTTCTATCTAGCCCTATTGATCTTGCTCTTCCTCACACATTTCATTTCAACTCCTATCTTGGTTCCTTTGTTAATGTCTGTAATTTCATTTTCATTTCTTAGAATCTTTACTATTCGTTAATACTAAACTCAGATACAACTACCTACATGAGACCTTTCCTGATCCCCTGGGCTAGTGCCTGTTCTACTCCCCCCCTCCCCCATTTCTTTGTATTTAGTTTGAACATATTCTGTATTTAATCTTGTCTCTACTTAAATGCATAAATGTTGCCTTCCCCTATAAAATATAATGGTCTTGATGGTAGGGCCTGCTTCATTTTCCTTTGGTTCCCTGCCATGTATGGCAGATGAAATGTGTTTAAAACATGCTTATAGGCTGATTAATAGAAAATAAGCTAAAACAAATATGGGAATTTGTTTTATTTGATTCTTATGTAATAACCTGATATAACTACAGAAAACCCCATGAAATGAGAATGTCAATGTATTTTTATGTTGCAATAATAAAATCAAAGTGAACCAAGCTAGTGAACCAACCATTTGTTTTTTTATGTGGGCTTTGACTCCTGTTAGTATAATTTTAGTTTTCTTTTTATGGCTGATACTTGGAAGAAATTATGCATAGTAGAATATTTTCAACAAAAAGTTCATACTAATAATTCTACTTTTAATTTCAAGTATCAAAGCATAGAGGAACAGAGGCAATATCACAGTGGGATTATCAGCTTTGGCAGTATTAGCCTCAGAATAGAAGTAGGATCAGCTCTGGTGGTAATGCTTGGCATGGCAGGCCTCCAGGCCAGCTGGAGGATTTGGAAGATGAGTTCCTGAAGCAGATCACAAAGCTGTCATAGAGTCAGGATATAGTTGTGTTGGGGGACTTCAACTATTTGGACATCTGCTGTTCTCCCTGTGTTAAAAGCAGAGATGATAAATTCTAACTTGTTTTGCTGATAGGTTTTTTCCTTCCATCTTTCAGCAGGTAGAGGTTGTTGAAAGTCTAATTCTTACCAAAAAAAGGAACTGACTGAACTAGAAATGACAGGAAACTTGACAGTGATCATGGCATTTTAGAATTTGTGATGTTTAATGTGGGTGCTGGGTATTGTCTGACATGTGTTAGTTTCTAAGAGAATATAATTCCATGAATTCAGAGATACAATAGGTAAAACCTTACATGCTAAGACTAGAAAAGGGGATTTGGTCAAGAGGGATCATAGCCATTCAAGAATGAAATTTCAGTGTTTTAGTTATAATTGATTCTAATGAAGAAAAGAATAAGGTGACTAATGAGATAAATGTTGTTCAGTCATGTTTGACTGTTCATGACTTCATTTGGGTTTTTCTTGGCAAAGATACTGGAGTGGTTTGCCATTTTCCCCCATCCAGCTCATTTTAAAAATGAGGAATTGAGGCAAACAGGATTAGGTGACTTGTCCAGGATCACACAGCCTGAGGCCAGATTTGAACTTGGGAGTTTCTGACTCCAGGCCCACATTCTATCCACTGTGCCACCTAGTTGTCTATGAAGCTGCATAGGAAACTTACTGACATGTTAACTTTTTTAAAAGATGAAATCCAGCACCGATAAATGAGGATGAATATAAAAGAGTGGCAAACTCCTGTGAAAAAATGCAGACATCTCAAAATGCAGTAAGAGTAGAGGTTTTTAAACATACAATAAGGGCAACAACAAAAAAAGCTTTTTAAAAAGCTATGTTAGGAGTAAGAGGAGGACCGTTGGAAGGATAGTTAGGACTCACTCTTGAGGGGGAGAGTAGAAGATGTAGTAAAAAAGGTAGAATTCAATTTTTTTTTATCCTGTTTTATCTGACAAGGTGGATGATCTTCAGCTTGCAAGGACAGAGCAGAAATGGTTAACAGGAAATTAAAATCTAAGATAAGTGAGTTCAAGTCACTTGGCCTGGATGAATTATATTCCTGTGAACTGAAAGGGCTTGCTGATACAATTATCA